ATTTTTCTGGCGTTTTGGGGGGGGGGGGCAAACAGGCCACTTTAGGCCTGGGGGGGGGGCATGGCCCCCGTGGCCCCCCCCCCCTGGATCCGCCAGTGACTCCCACCACGACCAACGGACTCCACTAAAATGGCGCAACACGTGGCCGGAAACAGCTGGCACGCGCATGCGCATATCGCTCTGCGCCGTCAAAACGTGCTAAAGGGCTGGTGATAAGACTCCCAGAGATTTGTAAAGCAGGGCTTAGCTACTTTCTTTGGCGCCAATTTCAAATTTGTTTCCTCTGTAAGCATGTCCGGTTCTATTGTGATACTAACGTAAGCACCATATTCAGCATTACCAACTTCTAAAACACTTAAAATGGTTCTAATTAGAAATCCAGCTTGAAAGAGCACTCACTGATGGACTGGGTACTAGCAGATTCAGAAGTAGACGTTAAGCTCAGTAGAAGAATAGGTGATCTAAACTTATAATATTTGATGGGAATGTTAGCTATCATTAGCATAGTATTAGCACCATGCTTCTTTGTAAATACGTCGTAGGGTTCTTTTGACGCTAAAAGGTGCTACGAATAGCAGCCGTTAGTACCCCAAATGCTAAACTTTTTTTTTACAGTGTGTGTTCTGGTAAAAAAAAATCCACCTCAGAATCTGACTCGTGGCGTCTCTGGACTCTGTCAGTCCTTCCTCAAGCTAAACTCAGTGTCAGAAACCCTGAGTTTCTGAGTTTCTGACCCGCTCCCTAATATGCAGCGCATATTAGAATTGACCTGGGGCGAAACAGCGGCTTTGTGAGCTCAATGGACAGAGCTTCTACCAGATACGGGTGCTGCCTGAGTGCGCCAACCTCGATTGTTTCATAACACCCTTCGGGGGCAACAAGCCCAAGGTGCTGCTCATTGGTCTAACCCTCGCCCGCACATGGGGGGGGGGGGGGGGGTGGTTGCCACCCCCCCAGGCAGTCTTTCTGCTCTGCACTCAACATTTTTAGAGCTAGAATGCTGATTTTTCGTATAGCTGCTCGTCCATCCTTTCTTGATGTCCACTGAAAATTTCAAGTTTCTGTGATTTTTGGTTTCGGAGATATGACCTTGTTTTTCAGGTCATGTCATGACCCAAATGGCCAATTCTCAACATCTTGCGTTTGCCATGGGCCTTGTGAGCTTTTGACACCCTGATTTCGGCCTTTTTTGCCAGTCTTACCTCCCACCTATCATGGAACATGTTGTTCGACGATGTACAGGGGTCAAGGTCAGGGTCAAGGTCAACCTAGGTCATCTAAGATAATTGCGTTTTAGGCAAGCTGAATTTACTTTTTGTGAAGTTTTTTGACTGCATTTTTGGTAAAAGCTTCTCAGATCATGATTTCATGTGATATGGACCCAAAAACAATCGGTGCACACAGCAGTATACACACAGACACACACAGACATACAAACACATATAATTGACCTTGACCTAACTTGACCTGAAATGACCTCAGCAGCAAAATTCTGGTCGGATAGTGTGACAAAGAGGTTCTAGCTGGCTTGGCACCAGAAAACAGCATCGTCATCGGTATTTGATAAGCAGCGCACTTGATATCCAACGGTGACCCAAAACAGCAACATTTTTTAGCTTGACCTGACCTGGAAGGTCAATGACTGACCTGAGAAGGTAAAACTGGGTATCATTGGATTCGTCTCTTCCCAAAGAATCTTTTTGGTCTTTACTGCTAAGCTCTATCTCCAACAGGAACGAAATGGCGCGGGGGGGGGGTGGCAACCCCCCCCCCCCCATGTGCGTTCTAGGATGGGAAAATGGCATGTGCGGGCGAGGGCTAAAGAATAGCAGAGCTAGTCTCCAGCGGCTAGTGGACGCCGTGTACGCGCCAGTGCTGGCCAAGGGAAAGGTCCACTTTGGGTCCACTGCTATCTTGATGAAGATCTGATCTGCTCAGCTCCACCACGGCCCGAACTGAGCACCTGGAGACGCTGCAGAGGACACGTTCCAGCTGGCTCAGAAGCACGGGGTGAAGAACAAACCGAGTAAGACCAGGCTTCTCTGTCGATCAGTGAAACTGCTGGGTCATGTCATTTCTCCCGAGGGCATTAGTGTCGATAACAGCAAAACACAGGCATTCGCCCAAATAGCAGAACCGGCCAATAAGACAGAGATAGGAGCTTTCGTAGGCTTGGCTAACTTCTAAATACAAGCGCTTCGTACGGGGTTTTGCGGCCCTGGCACGACCCTTACTGAACTTTACTGAAGAACGTGCCCTATGTATTCACCGAGGAGTGCAGGGAGTCTTTTGAGGCGCTGAAACGGTGTTTATGCGAGAGTCCGGTGCTCCGGTACCCCGACTTCTGGCGGGTTACCCATTTCACATCCACACCGACGCGAGCTCACGAGCACTGGGAGCGGCGCTGCATCAGGAGTTTGAGGATGGCTCTCGCCCTATAGCTTACGCTAGGCTAGCCGCCGGGTGTTGAGTTTGACGCCGTCCGAGCTGCCGCAGCCTATACCTACTGGTTAAAGAGAGCCTGGCGGTCGTCTTTGCCGTCTGTGAGAAGTTTGTTTTACTATCTCGACGGACGGTATTTCATACTAACCGCAGACAACAGCGCTCTCAGATATGTAGGGGAAGCGGGGGGAGCACCGCCACCTTAAGCATTTCTGCTCACCGAGCTGATATGCGTAGTAAAAACGAAGCTCTTTTGCATTCATGTGAAAGTAGGAATGTTTTCCTACATGTTGGCATAGTTTCCAGCGCTCCATTATAAAATTTCGCTACTTTACAGACATTGAAATTAAGTCCTGCATTTTCCGTCCTCCAAAAAATGTGCGGGTAGCACCGCCACTGATGGCGATGTTATCCACAGATCGGCCTTACGGTGACAGCCACCCTTGGAAGCGTTACTGCTGTCTGAAATAGTATCTCAAACTGATATAACCCTCGCCGGCCGAGGGGGGGGGGGGCGGGTGCCGCCCCCCCCCCCATAGGGTTTTTAGCTCCGAACAAGCTGGCGATAGAGAGCTGAAACTTGGCATACCTGACCTTTGATCCAAGCCGCATCTTTTGACACCAACTGCATTTTTGGGTCAGGTCAGGTCACTGACCTATGACGTCATAAGTGAACCTCTGCACGGTCTTCAGATGTCGCAACTTCGCAACGCCCTCACTGCTAGAGGAGATGTCACAGGGAAATGAAACTTGCAGGATCTAGTATCCATTATGAGTCCTACAACTTTTATATCTCGGATTTTTCCTAAAGGTCATATGAGGTCAGGTCATTTTCGTGACCTCACCATTACCTACAAGTCAATGGGGAAAAATGAAAACTGCTATTCTGGCGCCGGGAACGGCTCCGGCTCCAGCTCCGGCTCCGGCTCCGCACCCCTGCTTGGAGGGTGCAATGAAAGAAGGGCAAAGCCAAAAAGTGACCGCAGACATCGACCTCGACTCGCACACTCGGCCGGTTTGTACATACCGTCATTGAGATGGGAATCAAACCGCTGAGTGCCGAGGAGCTGCGAGCAGACCAGCTCAAGGATGAGCAGTTGGAGCCGATTATACGATACCTTAACCCGCGAGTTGCTGGGGGGGGGGGGACGTTAAACGCCCTCACTTCTTTCGCCGGGCCATAGCATAAAGACGGCGCGCCGCAGGCGCGCCAAATATTGGGTACCTGTAGGTAATCGATTGAAGGTTATTGTGACAAAGTTTAAAAAAAAAATCGGTTGAATTTTTTTTTAGATATCGAGGTTTTAGTGACGTCATGATTTCTGAGTTTTCGACCAAAAACGGCATATGTTCAAAAAATCATATAAAATCACCGAATAGACATACCTACAGTCATGCCGTAAACGCCATTAGACTGCCAATACAATGAACAATCAAATGGCTATCTTTGATTATTGATTATCGTTCCGCATTTTCCAAAATCTTGAACCGAATCTTGGCAATTTCTCGTGACTACTTCACGACCATGATACATGCATTTCTTAAATTGAACTTTTTGAGCCAAACACGGACACATATGATAAAATGAATGTCACCATCGTGTTCTACGCCCCAAATTACCCATAAATTATGTGTCACAGGCTGCGAATATCAGTTTTGATTTTCGGGGATATATCCCCGAAAATCAAAACTAAAAATAACATCACACAATATCAAAACCGAGTAGGCACGTATATGTGCCTACCCGGTTGACCTGACCTTGACCCTGGCCTATGCTTGACCCCTAGGCCTACATGGAGCTGACACTCTTGTAGGCCTTATATGATTGATTGTGCACCGTTTTGACAGAGTTTATGACGAGAGGCGCCCATTGCGAAGTCCTGAAGTCCATGCTACTGAAAGCCCGATTTCAGGTGTTTGACCTGACCTTGACCTGACCTGTGACCTCAAAATTTAATTTTAAAGTACTCATCTGGAGCGTCTCGTCGCGTTCTTTCGTTTGCCGCCTCGTGCGTTTCGCTGCGCCTATTGGTTCTCGAGTTATCGGCTGGGGGCGTTTAACGCCCCCCCCCCCCCAGCAAACGGTAGGTGGCGAAATACCCCAGCAACTGCCGGGTTAATGCATTCTGAAAGTACCAATGTGTCACATGCATATGGGGAAGGGCCTGGGCACGCGCATTTCATGGTCTGAAGACATGCCTACTCCCGCGTAACCTTTTTTTCTTCAAATAAATATTAAATTCTCTCTCCCTCGTTTTATTTAAAATAATGTGGCCGAAATCCACCGAGGAACGCAGATTTGGGGTTACCTAGGTGGATGTTGGCGACCGAAGTTCTGAAACCGTGGTGACGCCGCTGATCAACCCAAACCACATCCATGAAGTGGAGCATTTCCAAGAGTACCTATTTCTTTCCTGCCTTCTGAGCTAAAAACTTCACTTTTTGCCTACCAGATGATGAAGTAATCTTGCTACCAGATGCATGTTTGGAAGCACATTTGCCGCAGTTTGCGGCGCGCGCAACACACAAGTTGATCATATTGATGATCATAGTCAGTCATCATATTTTGATATAAATCATAATGTATGATTACCTACCTTCCCTGCACGGCATCGTGACTTCAAATACAAATTTACATTGAAATACAGGTGAGATAGGTCTGAGTAGGGTAGGTGTGTGTGAGAAGATTTTAACGTCAAACATTGATGGTATGTTGTTCTGGGCTATGGCGCGTAGCAGCTTGGCTCTTGCGTCCAACATTGATAAGGTAGTAAACACTGCTCTCACGGGTATTTTGATCTTGACATGCAGTTTCGCTTGGCCGCACATAGGTAATGTGGGTACCTTTTGCTTTGCAGACAATCATCCAAGAGCTTTGGCTGTCATCTCGCTTCGCTATCGATGCTCAGGTGACTGTCGACCCAGGTGAGTTGGGTGAACAATCAAATGGTAAAAAGGGCTTGATAAATTAGAGAGCTTTTTTATGACCCTGCTCCATGTTGAAGAGATATCCCTAAAAGTGTGATCTGTTATCGGCCCTTACGCAGCAAGGCCACACTTCCTGACCAGTGAATGGTACTTATCAACATAATAAGAACTCATCAAATATTTATATTATCGTACACTAGTAAAAATACAATCAAAATGTTTCTTTAGAGAAGGAATCAGTCCTAAACATAAGCTAAATATTGATCCTATTTTGCCACCAGTGTTAAAAATAGATCCCCCCAATCACCTGATAAGCCTAAAATAACGCTGATCCTGCTGCTCAGGCAGAAATATTTTTCTCACAATTGAATTGTGTAATTATCTTAAAACAAAAGGTTGTGTTTCAGAAAAATAGGCTGATTTTATATGGAGATAAATGTACAAAAATTATTCATCATGATAAGTTGTTGATTTACCTACATTGTTTTTACATTGTATTGTCTTGTTGATTTACCTACACATCCTCATAGTTAGGAGTCATATTTCAGTATGTTCTACAGAGTTGAGCATTATTTCAGGACCAGTCTTTTCCTTGTTCATTTGTCAATCAATCGTGACATTTTCAGGGTGGAACAATTAGTTTTCAGGCGGTCCAAGTGGTTTCGTGAGAAGGTTACCAAAAACGGTGTCATTTTTAGATCCTTTATACAGGGCCCTATGTGAGGCAGTGCTGTCACAGGATCATAAAATAGAGCGCTCCAATTTTAGCTTATTTCCGTGGTAAGTCACCAACTGACATTCACATAGATTTGGGTGAAAATAGCCACGAAAATAGCCATCTGCATGATGGGCTCAAAATTGAATAAAAAGCACACCATTGACCATATTGTCACAAATTTTTACCTATCGAGGTGAAAACTTGTTCATACAATCATTTACTCCTAAAAGAAACAAGTACACTTCAAGCAGCAATAGCAAAACTTTATCTAACCTACCCAACCTACCTTACCTTACCTTAGGCCTGTTTCACTACAAAAATATTATGAAGTACCTACCTGTTATCCATACTGCAAAGTATGGCTGGCAGGTCGACGAGGCATTCTGGCCCATGTTCAAAATCTGCACCAACACTTTAACCCGCGCCCCGTAGGGGGGGGGGGGGGAGGGGCGAAACGGCCCCCTGTCCTTTTCCGTCGATAGATCTCCTAAACGGCTGAAGATATCGCCACCAAACTTTGAGGACCCCTCTGGACATCAATTTTACGCATTGTGACCATTGACCAAATTTTTTTTTTTTCCAGAGGCTACGATAGGCTGGCCACAAAAGACATCAGAATGACGTCATGTTCTGCCATTTTCGACCAAAAAAAGACCTTCGCGAGAAGCGCTGTCAGGCCTACAGCTTTGAAGATACAGAAAAATGATCAGGACATAAAAGGTGTAGAATTGACAGGGCTACAAAACTGCTATCTCGGATTTTTGAAATTTTTGAGTTTTGACCCCTAAAAATCAAAAAAGCATTTTTTGGATATATTAGCAAAAAATCCAAAAAGTTTTTTGAGTTTCGAAAAATCAGAATATATGTGATAGTACCTACCGTCTTTTATCTACATACCAAATTTCAGATCGATAATCATTTTTTGGCGAAGTTATAGCGAAAAAAAAAACTTCAAAAATGATGACGTCAAATTTTCCAACTCAATTTTTGGCAATTCTAGACCACGTAGGGCAAAACAAAGACCACCATTAGACTCCCCGTGACGAGCTGCATCGAATATACCCATTTTATGCAAAATATCAACTTTGAACTTTGACCTAATTTGACCTAACCTTGACCTGACCTTTACCAAAACGTGACCAAAGCTGGCCCCAAAGGCTGCCTGACCCACATAATTGTCTATCAAATGGCTATCTCGGTTTTGTAAAAATCTGGGATTTTGGCAGATTTTTTTTTCTTCAAAAACTGACTTAAGGAAAATAATTATAAAATCCGAAGTTTTGAGTGTATCGAAAAAACCAAAATAAATGTCAGAGAAGTGGTCTATGTGCACCTACATATCAATTTTTAGAGAGTATCGGTTCAAAAATGTGGGAGCTATTTAATTTTTTATGACGTCACGACACACAAAATGTTTGAAAAATGATTTTTTTTCGAAGCTCTAGACCTCCTACGGAAACAAAAATGTCACCATTCGATTCGCCGTGAAAAACTGCATCAGATAGACACCTTTTTAGGTCTGAACCCGGCGGCCGCTGGGCCTCCGCGCCACCCGCCGGCCGCTCTCGGGGGGGGGGGGGGTGCATATAGCTGCCCCCTTTACTTCTGCGACGATATCGTCGCAACGCGAGGAGATAGAGAAGTGAACTTTGCACACATCTTCCCGAATACCTAACCGAGGTTGTGTCCAAATTTGGTGTCGATCCCACTTGAAATGACGTCACAGTGACGTCATAAGTCAAATTATAGATTTGCGACTCTCAGATTCCTCACGATACATCAGATACACGGAACCGAATATAAAAGGCCGATTATTGGTCAGGAACTAGATGGAAGCGTACTTAGATGTTTTAGGATGACAGCAGGTGCTGTCTAGTTATTTTACAGTTGAGTTTCATGCTCAGCGACATCAGAAACGGTCCATATTGGAAAACGACAAAACTTTATGACGTCACTGTGACGTCATCTAAGTGCTACAACCACCAAACTTTCCTCAAGCATAGCGTAGGTATTCATTTAAAGCTATGCCAAGTTTCACGTTCTTAGCTCATCAGGTTTCGGAGATATTCCACAAAACGTAAAGGGGGGGGGGCAACTTAATGCCCCCCCCCCAGCGGCTCGTGGGTTAACAACCAACTTCAAAATTTAACCTCACTTGACCTAACCCTGACCTGACCTCGGCATGAAATTCATCCAGATGTGGTCCATATCACTTATTGAGTGTGCCTGTTGAATTCTATGAATAAAATGACACGTAAAACATGTGTCGCACATGCCCTTTTCTATATTTCGTTTTTGGTGACCTGACCTGACCTTGACCTTGACCTTTGCATGATATTGTATGCAACGAATATTGTCTTGATAGCCTAAGAACACGTTTTGGGCAATCAGTCTCAGTCCATTCTTATTTCTTCGGCAACTACGGTGCAAGGCCGATACTGTAGAAACTTGCATTTTTTACCCTTGACCTGACCTTGATCTGATCTCTGACCTACTCAAGCAAAAAATTTGGCTCTTAAGATCCGCCTTGTTGGGAGCTTTCGATTGCCGTTTTCCCCGTCTTTCTACGACCATCGCACAGTGGTTTTTTTTTCCGATCTAGCACGTCTTTATTCGTAGAGGGCAAACCTTAGGTATATTTTTTTAAAGTTTGCCCCTAACTGTAGGGGAAAGTGGGTGTATTGCGCCCTCCTAACCAATTGCGCCCACCTACATTCCCACGGATTCAATGGCATGTTTAGAATTTTGTGTTCGAAAACATTATTTTTACCACTGGATTGTTCATTTTACGGCCCAAACACTCCGATGAAGCCAATCAGCAAGGCTCATTACGCCATCAAAGATGGTATGGCGTTTTTTAACTTTTTTGCAGTATTTTGAACCGTTGGCTATAAAAATTTACGATATTTGTGTGATTTTCAGAGTGATATTTAAAAAGAAAAACCCATTTTTCATTGTATATCACTGAAACCGTAAACTTCCTGCAACATCTTTATGATAACTTCTATGCTTTTATTAAAAAGTACCTCAATTTTAATTGCGCCCATGGCAATTGCACCAGGGGGGCGCAAATAGAATAATGGTGTAGTCATTGTATCACGACAGTATGAATGCATCATTAAAGGGCCTATCCCACCTTTAACATGGGGTTTGAGTTGAGATAGCCAAGTTTGCGGCGAGGTTCAGAAACTACTATCTATCATAGGTTGCACCCCCCCCCCCCGGCCTCTTGGTGTTGAAGAAATTCGTTCCCTTCATTTGAAAATGGGCCTTGTACAAGGCCCTATCTTCAACATGGAGCGACCGTTAGTGTGACGTCACCTCGTTTAGTCATTCTGATTTAACCCGCGCCCTGCTGGGGGGGGGGGGGGGTGTTTGAACACCCCCCCCCTTGTGGTTTTTCGCGAATATCTCAAAAACGGCGGCGCGGAGCGCCGCCGTTTTTGGTACACCTTATCATACATCAATTCTACACATGTTGTGAAAATTTCAGACCAAGGTCATTCAAGGTCAGGTCACCAGGTCACTTGAAGTGACCTCACCTCATAAAAAGTTTCAATGTCTGTCATAGCTACACCGAGTGACCGATCGCTTTGAAACTTTCAGCGATTGCTAAGAGCAATAGCATGTACAAAATGTATATCTCAGAATTTTGATATCGATGACCTAAGGTCAGGTCAATTTTGCGACCTCCCCATTATAAGTCAATGGGAGAAAATTGAAATGCGCCTGTTTTGGATGAAAGACATTATAAACACTCCCAAACACCGAATTACAAGTGGTTTAGACACACTGAACATGAAAATGGTGTCCGTGACCCTTGTTTATGCCCTGAGGTCATCTTAGGTCACGAATGGTATCTAACAGTTTTTCGCAAATAACTTTTGATAGAGGCATGCTAGAGCGATGAAAACGCCTTAGATGTGTTCAGCTCGACGATACGGATCGACTGATATGCAACATGACCCTTTCCGGTCAGGTCATGACCTTGACCTGAGGTCAAATTTTCAAGTTGACCTTTCAAGGTCAAGTTATAGTTCATTCGATGCGTCTTGACAAGAGGAACACGATGCCGGTGAAAGTAAGCTCGTACAAGGCTTGGGTCAAAAGTTATTGCAGAAAAACTGTTTCCGAAAAAATCGGCTATTTTTGCAGTTTTTGCCCCCTGCAGGCAAAACCGTTGACGTTAGGTCAAATCTGAGAGAATTACTCAGAAAGGGCGTTAATAGGGCTATCGAATGCGCTTTTCCGCGGCGCTGTAGCTCTATTGGTTCCCGAG